ATATCTACGTTGCTGTTACACTGCACTTTGTTTAAAATTTAACATTTAAAAACACATTGTTCTTTTCCTTGTTATTATCAACATCTACTTCGTTGATATCTGTCTGGTTTATAGATTATTTTACACACGTTAATTTTGATTTTCCTGTAGTAGCACTATAAAATCTTTAGTTCTAATTTTAAAATCCTTTAAAATTTTTCTCTAAATTTTAAATTTAAAATTGTTAGGGTTACTCACCCTATGTCTAAAGTTCTGCAGCGGCTAGTTCTTATTTCCACACTGTATAGGTGTTATTCTGTGTAGTCTTCCTGTGTGCGTGCCGCTGCTATTCTTTACTAACATGTGTTTTTAAATGTTAAATTTTAAACGAAGTGCAGTGTAACAGCAACATAGATATACACCTGATGATGGCCGTTTGAGGCCGAAACATGTAGTGTAAGGAGAGTAAGATCAAGGACATATAATATATTGTTTCCACTTGGGACGGAGTTTATATCATTTATTAAGAACTGTACTTTAATGTACTTTTTGCCCAATGTTGCTATTTGTTTTTGTTCGTGCTCTACAAGCATGTGTGCATTACTTTTCAGCCTACCCACGTACATACACATACTGTGTATTTTTTAAGAGTTGTTGACATGTAGTGTTTGGCTGTTTTCAACTGAATATTATAAAATTATAACACTCTACAATATTTGAATTTGAAAATATTATTAATTTAAATGAAAAAGTGAAGTCCATGATTTATTTTATCCGTCTTCTAGTGCATACATTTATTTATCCCCTCCTTCCTTTAAATTGTAAAGAAATAAAGCATACTTATTTAAAAAAAATATTATGTCCGCTAATATATTTGTAACAATAAAATTATGTGTTTTTATTACCTACGATCTTCTGTATATCTTGCATTTGCAATTTCTGTGCTAGAACCTGGCTATTATTTGAAACGTTGGCACTGTTTTGAATTTCTGTGTTACTATCCAAAAACAATTTGATCCCAGGGCACTATCAATGCCTCAAAATTTAATTGTACCTTTATATTATATTTCCTTTCAGGACAGTACTCCAGTTGACCTAAAGCAATAGCTGTCACTGATATTCATTATACTGAAACATTAGCTCATTTCAGATTGTAACCGATGGGCAGTTGGCAATAATCTATCCCAAGTTTTAATATAGTCCTGCCTGTGTGCTATTACATCACTGTTGTGACATATTTTCATTTTCATTGCTGCTTCTTACCTGCAGTTCCATTCACTCCATCTAAACCTGGTCTTCCATGTGGACCAGGTTTACCCTTCTGGCCTTTGAGTCCACGTGGACCTTGAAGTCCAGGGAAACCTGAAATGCCTGGTACACCATTTCTTGCAGAATCACCAGGTTCTCCTTTTGGCCCACGAAGACCTGCAAAGTTGTTACCATTAATATTTTACTGACACCATCAGAGTCAAAACTGACTAATGAGAAAATTTCGGATTCCCAGTATGTTCAGTTCATGTATTCACACATACACACATTTGGGTTATAAGAATTTTTTTCATGTTGTCTCTCATCCTAATGGAAAAATGCAGGACTTTGAGAATGAAGTGCTAAAGAAAATATTTGGACCTTTGAGGAAGGATAAAACAAAAGGATGAGTATCATAAATGCACTCTTCAAGAAAATATTATTATCATCATCAAATTAATGAGGATGAGATTGTAGTGTCATACAACATACATAGGAAGATGAGAAATGCCTACAGAATTCTACTCACGTCACCTGAAAGGAAGAGGCCACTTGAGAGATGTAGACATCAATGGGACAGAAAAGAAATTTGTGTGAGGATTTGAAACGAATTCAGCTAGCTCAGGACAGGGTCCAATAGTAGGCTCAGAGATCAATAAAAAGCGTGGGTCTCTTGGCCAGATAGTGACTCAACTTCTCAATGAAGACTACTCTCCTTTAATTATTTAGTTTTATTTAGTATTTCACTAAATGTATAAGACAGAAAATGTTTCAAATAGAAATTGTAGACTTCAATGACATTTAATAGGTGCCAAGATAGCTCAGTCAGTAGAGCAATGGGCTACAGGCTGGAAGGCAGAGGAATATGGGTTCAATTCATGGCTAGGCAAGAGATCCTTCTTTTTTCCATAGTATCCACAAAGGCCCTTTGTCCCACTCAGCCTACTGTCAAATAGGTACCACAGCTTTTCCCCTGGAGCAAAGCAGCTGGGGTGCAGAACTGACCACTAATCTCCAGCTTATGCCGAGGTTAAGAAGGCACCTCCACTCCCCAATACATTTCCAATGAGTGGTGCTTAATTAATTAAACAGAGAAACGACAAAATTTAATTTATGTGTTGTCATTTTGAGAACATGGATAAGGTTTCACTTCAGCCTGATATGAAGTTTGGGTTGTATTAGATTGGTTGAAGCCAGAATTAACGTTGTCTGACAGCATTTATTATAAACTTCCCATGCCCCCACCCCCACTGCAGTACAAATTTCCTGAAGATGTGTTCTATTATTTCAGAGATATAACATGTAAGTAAACTGACAGACATAGCTGGTCCTATATGTGCACATGAATTCATCAGTTATCTCAACAATATCTCTTTTCTCCAGCTGAATGAGTTTTGCAAACCGCATTCTATGTGTAGTATTATCTTGGATATTAAATATTTCTTGGCTATAGGCCTAATGGAAGTTTAATGACAATCATCATCATCATCATCATCATCATCATCATCACCATCATCGTCATTGTCTTCTTCTTCTTCTTCATGAATTGAGTTACGTATATCACTGGCTAGTCCAACTCCAAAAATAGAACAGTCTAATGTTTAATTTAAGCTCAGTGTTTGAAATATATGTGAGGACACTGAAATATATATTATTATACATTTCTGATTAGATTAAAAATTGGTCTTTCCACCTCATCTGTGGCATTCCTGGATCTTGTTTATCTGTTTATCTTCCATAATTTCTACTTTCTGACACTTTTCTTTTTGTAATAACATATATTATATAAGTGAAGTACTCGTATGTCTACATTTTAATTAAATAAGGGATTATTAATTACAGAATTTTATATATTTCTGTGGTTGTTCAATCATTCACATTTTTGTATTCATGAATTAACCACTTCAATGGAGCCGAGTCATTGAAAAGCTGTTACTTAAGTACAAATCCCTGTGTAACATTTCATAACATATCAGCCTTTTATGACAAGCTAATAGTCCACCACCAAATTCTGAAGATGGAGGGCTGCCCCATGGACAGCACTTCACAACTGCTTATGCAGCTGTACCCATATCTCAAGGCCTTAGTCACACACAAATGTGCCATGCCATGATAACAAGGATTTGATCTAAGATGGCATTAACTAACAAACATTAACAGAAGAACTTGAAGGTTCAACAACATTAATACCAAAGCTTGCCACTGGATATGATTTTGGATCAATTTTGTCCATAACCTACCTCCCTAAAATCCATCCTAATATTATCTTCCCATCCACTTCTAAGCCTTCCAAGTGGTTATTTTTCAAGAGATTTCCTCGCCAAAATTCTCCATGTATTCCTTGTTTACCCCTTTTTTTCACATATCCAGTCCTCATAAGCTCAGATTTTATCAGCACAGCAATGCTAGGTGACAAGTATAATTATCGAAGTTGGGTAATATCCTAAATTGTACACGGTGTGTCCAGGATCCATGAGGACACATTTTTTTAAATTTTGCCCTGCAATGCCATCTGCTGGTGAGTTGTGGCATTAAGATTCTTGAAGTTTATGCTGTGGTTGTCTATAATTTCAAAGCGCAGGCATCACTGCATCATGTGTTCTGACCTTGAATGTAACAGTACTGTACTGACACTCATCGGAAAGTGGTGGTTGAACAGAGAGTCAACATAAAATTTTGTTTGAAGTTAGGCAAAACAGCCGGATAAGTGTACGAAGTGATGAAAAGTGTGTACGATAGTGACTGTTGATTTTTCGATGGTATGCTGTATTTCGTGATGGCAGGGAGGACAATGAAGATGCTCCACGTACATCAAAGCCGAGAATAAGTTGCACTGAAGAAAATGTGAAAAAAAAGTGACTGAAATCCTTGCATCAGACAGATGTGTTTCTGCAAGACTCATTGGTGAGCTTTTGGGAGTACCAAAAAGTTCTGTGCATTAAATTTTGACCGAGGATTTGGGCAAATGGAAGGTCTGTGCGTGGTTTATACCGCACGCGCTGTCAGGCGATGAAAAACATGCCAGAGTGAAACACTGCAAAGATATGTTACGGTTGGCCCCAAGTGATACAAAATTTACAAAATCAATTAGTACTGGTGACGAGACATGGTGTTTTCAATATGGGCCTCTCACAAAGCGGCCGAGTGCAGCGTGGTTGAGCCCAAAGAAGCCGAAACCAAAGAAAGTGCGCATGCAAAAGAGTCGAGTAGAGACACTGCTAACCATTTTCTTCGATTCCAAAGGAATCATTCACAAGGAATTTCTGCCAGAAGGTCCAACAGTGTATTCTGATTATTATCTCAGATTCCTCAATCGTTTGTGGGCGAGAATTCTTCGAATTCGACCTGAATATCGAGAGCAAGGTTCCTGGTTGCTCCTCCACGACAATGCCCCACCCCACAAATCGAAGATCATGCGCGATTCTTTAGCCAGAAAAGTGATCACAATCCTTGATCATCCTCCATATTTGCCAGATTTGGCTCAAGAAGATTTCTGGTTGTTCCCAAAAGTTAATTTGGCGATGAAAGGAGACTGTCACGACACCATCCAGGACATCCAAAGGGAATGTACCACAGTCTTAAATGCAATTCCACAAAAGGAGTACAGTGACTGTTTTTGAAAACTTTTTAATCGATTCCAGCTATGTATTGATTCAGAAGGAGACTATTTTGAAAAAAAGGAGTGACATTTTGAAAATAATTCACGTCTTGTATTTTGAATGAACACAGTCCGAACAGAACCTGGACACACTGTGTATACGATGTATCAATTATTGAACTAATTATCTACAGGATATCAGGTGAATTAATTTATCCTTTGATATAATCCAATCTGTTACGGTCTGCTGCCTTTTTGTGTAATAAATGTAAGAAATATATTTGTCAGCATGAAACTGGTAGTCTAGGGCTACAGAATCAATTACTAGTTACTTTGTTGGAGAAATAATAAATAAATTTATTATGGAATATTTGTGGGATATCTGGAGGTGTTACCATTTGTAAATTGCATAGTCTCTATTTAGTAAAACGTAAAAAAAACGTGATCATATGAATGAAACTCTACACATGTCCATTGTCTTGGGTAATTAGTAACATCCCATTCAACATGTTATCAAACATAACCACCCTGTGGAGATAGGGGGATGCAATCAACTTCCGGCGACACAGGACGTCCTCTGAATCAGGGAGCTTGTGATAAGGGTCATAAGGCGACGACTCCAGCCAGTTTCATTGGGATTTAAATTCATTAACCTCACAACTTCATTCATGTATTTCACTTCTCAGGTGGTTTTCACTGTAGAAGGATATGATACCTTTTAAACTGTTGTGGTTATGCTTGCTTGCAATTTTCTTATTAAAAAGTGAATAATGAGTTGGAAAGAATTTGGAAGGAAGCCTGGTTTTAGGTAATATCTCTGCATTTGCCTGGAGGGTCTGAGAATTGCAACAGTAACCCTCAATCAGAATAGCTTATCTCCAGACCAAAATCAGAACCTGAGACCTCTAGAATAATGAAGCCTTTGCTTCTCATTAAGTTTTCCATATGTGGTACACACATTCCATCAGAAACTCACGACATAAGGGCACTCATATGCAGTTGCATGCACACCACCAGGGGAGGGAGGGGCTACTGCATGAACTAAGAACACCCATATTTATGTATTAAGTGTAAATTTTTCCATTGTTTTCCTGTAATTATTGACTTTTTGGACATTATCCATCATCCTGTTTTTTATTTACATCATCATCACCAACTTTCAGATCTTAGCCATTATTTTGCTCAAACTGGATTAATATACGACTACTTGCCACATCCAAAATTATCGAGCCTCCTCTTTTTTTCTAAAATGGCGATTCTTATCCAGGAAGTCCATGGTATAATTTATGCCACTCTGCCATGCCCAGTAAGTTTATATTATATATATATTATTCAGTATAGGTAAAGGTAATATTATCCCTGTGCTTAATTTATTAAGTATCACATCACGAAGATGTATGGGGGTGGAGGTATAGATCAAAATATTCTTAACCTTGCCACTACATGAAGGGGAGTGGTCAGATTCATGCCTCAGCTGCTTTACCCTAAGGAAAGAGCCTTTTGTACCCAGTGTACGAGTATATGAGGCTGGATGGGCCCCAGAACTTGTCTGGATGCTGTGGAGAAGAAAAAAATCTCTTGCTCCTGTTGGTAATGAAACATTATGTAGTGTCTTACTTACATTGAAATCAATTGTAGAGCCTCTGTTTTCTAGATGTGAAGCATCTGTTTATTGTTTACTCACCGCTGCTAAGCAGTGGTACCTGAGCTGCCACTGTAACGTTTGCTTGAATGTGGGCAGTTCCCACGAAACTAAACCAGTAATGTATATATGAAAAGGTATTTCCATATTAAACTAGTGGGGTTCACTGTATTATGCACATTACTTTTAGTTCATGAGTTTACATAATATCTGCAACTGGACAGAGGAATTAAATGAAAATAGGTACCATAATGTAATTCCATGACATCCTGTTATTGAGGGACTAAGTGATATTTCCTTCAAAAACTTTATTTTAGTCTAATAAATATTTTATAGTTCACTACTGTCCAGTAAATCTGCTGCTCTTATTCCATGCCCTTCTTCAGCCATAAAAACTTAGAATTTGTGAACAACAATCGAAAATTACATTTTTCCACACAGAATTCCTTACTCATGTTTCACTTTCAGACAACAACTTTATCTCTCCTATTCTAAAATCACAATGTTTCACAAATGATTCTGGGTCTACTTTCTAATAAAGGGAAGCTATACATCACAACTATAGCTTGTTTGTCCTAGCTATAACTCTGAGCCTGGATATACAGAAGTCTAAACTCACAGTCCCGGGGGGACATCAGTTCAGTATTTTACTCAGATCACTAGTGCAAGAAATGAGAAACTTATGTGAAGCAGCCTTTCCATATCACCCACTGCAGTGTTCCACATTAGCATAATGGAGCTCTAAAAACAACATACAGAATACACATGACTAGAACAGATTAAAGAAACATTTTTTATAAAAGGAAGAAAGCAAAATTATTTAAATAATCTGTTCACATTTCCCTTGAAAAGTATTAACTGAAAAATCTGCCTTCAAAGATTTTCCCAGTGTTCCTTACAGCTTTGTTGTACACAGTTTTTGAATTTTTGTGATAAAATATAATTTTCAGATCACATTTAAGTGGAAAAATTACCTGGTAAACACACTCCACAGTCATCACCCTTGGGTCCATGTTCACCTTTTGACCCGGGCATTCCTGGAAGACCAGGCAACCCAGGTGCACCTGGTGATCCTGGAAGTCCTGCCTCCCCAGGGGGGCCCGGAATAGGGACACCTATACCTAGAAACCCCTTTGGTCCTGAAATAATCAGATTCAAAAAATGGTTATCTGAGCATGCATTGAAGGTTACAACTCCAATTTCTGCATTACATAAAATCTTTTCACATAACGCTCTCCATATTTCACCATCATGTTGCTAGCAGACACCAACTTATTTTACAGTAAAAAATGGATCTATGTACAGTGTTATTTTATTGCTTGGCAGCCATTTAATTTATCAAGGGATCACTATGTGGCACAATGGAGGTGAACTGTCAAACTTGGAATGATGAGAGTGTGTATTCATTTATAAGACTGTCACAATAAATAAGCAATTTATTATTTCAGTACACTTTATTTTTCGCAAATCTTGAATGAAACATGGGAACCTCTGAAATATCTAAATAAATAACAAACAGTTTAAATTCTGATTGTGTAACATTCATTCAACAATCCAGAATATTACAGATCATACCTCACTATTCTAGGATTAAAAAGAATGGAAGGTTGATACTAGTTTTATGATATAAAGAATTCTCACAAGATTTATCCCTGCCAGCAAGTCATCACTATTTGCTTTCTCTCAATTTATTTGCAACATAATACATTGTGACATAATGGTTGAAAGCTGGAACAGTGGCAATGTTAGGCAATGACATAGTAAACAAGTGTGGAAGCAACAAATAAACATGATCAGGAAATGTTGGCCCAGGAGTATAAATCAGCCAGACTTCTATAGTTATTAGTTATAAGCACTCAGTAAATCCAGTAATCAATCCAAATTCCAAGTCTAGTGACAATATTTATTTTTGTAAAAATACAAATTTCAACTGATTATTTCATATCAGTGGTGTTTTACTGTGATTTTAAAAATGGACAACATGGGACTGAAGTGCAAGATTTTGCATAGGCAGGCTAGCAATCTAGTTTTAAGATGTTTAATTATCTCACACAAAAGGCACAGAACTATGAACTGTGTTCTCATGTCACAAGAATGCACTAATAATTTGTCATATTTATGCAAAAGGATGACAAGAATATCACTCACCTTGTAAACCATTTTCACCACGATCTCCAATTGGGCCACTGAAACCATCACGTCCTGGTATTCCATCTTCACCTGGAGGCCCTGTCATTGTGAGTCCAGGGAAGCCCTTCTCTCCTAGAGCACCTGGTTGTCCAGGTAAACCTGGACTTCCCTGAGGACCCTGAGGGCCTGATAGACCTGTAATTTCATGTCAAATATATGGATTTCTTAATGATGTTAAAGTTACAATACTGAACTACATGAAAGAATGATGGAAAAAATTCCATAACGATTAGCTTCATGATTTGTATTCTTCAACTATTATGGTGGTCAAATCAGGAAGGATCCATAATGTTCTGTTGTAGCATCCTGTTACATCCATGACAACATCTACACATGGCATAACAGAAGGAAACACACACATCGCCATAAAAATTTACAGCCTGCAACACATGATAAACATAAATGAAATTATACTTCAGATTCTAAAATTAAATCATAAAATTATAAAAAAATACATATCAACACAAGTTATGACAGTGCAAAAAAGTGCAGCAATTTCTCCAACAATTTTGACACCAAATTGGTCAAAACACGTTGTTCAATAGAAGCATTAAATAAAACAATGTGAAACAATTAAAAGTTTTAAATTTTAAAACTTGAATTTTAGAACTTTTAGTGAATTGCATGTGAGACAGCCGTGAATACATGAACAACAACAACAAAGGATCCATTAAGCAGATGGGAAATCTATATACAATTTTTGATGGAAAATTTATGGAAGAGACTTGGCATACATGGGGTACAGAATTATAGATGATCATAAACAAATGGAATGTCAGGGAGTCCACATGATTCATCTGACTCAGGACAGTGTCAAGTGACCGGCCCTTATGGGCTCAGTAACAAACTTTCAGATATCATTAATGCAGAAAATCCATTGGTCACCATAATAATATCTCATTAAGAGTACAAGTGATGAAGTTCATCATTATGAAATTTCTACCATCATCCTGTTCCTTCCTCTCTCTTAAGTCCAAATATTTTCTTCAGCATTCGGTTCTCAGTGACATTAAATGCAAGAAGTCTGTTTTCATTACTGGATGGCAGACATCAGCATACTGCAATGGAAAGTCCAGGGGCAGAATCCAAAATTTTTGTGGTCCTTGATTTTAGATGGTATTGGGTCGCCAGAAATGACATATTACTCTGGAAATGTTACCTTCAGTAGTGATCATGTCAAGAAAGAACTTGATCCTGATTAAGTATCAATTTTGCTGATTACTGTTCAGAGATAAAAGCTACATATTTCTGCCTCTTGGTGTAGTTAGTGACATTTTATCAACAGTGCTGGCTGCATAATTTGAACTGAGAGAACTGGTATTTGATGATGGAGATTCTGTGGGTTGCTTCACAGTTCTACCCTAACATTTTCCACCAGGAATTATGAAAACTACGTTAATCTCATTCAATATCCTGGTAGTACTTGAAACATGGAACTTAAAAATATTATGATGCAGTAACCACTACATCATATTTAGTAGCCAAGGTCAAGTCTTCAGCTATTTCACTCTCAATTTAATTTTCTGAAAATTACAAAGTAAAGCACTGAATTGAGATTTGCAAGAATATGATGGAACACAATCTAAAGCCTCAGTCTGGTGTTCATGTTTACAGCCTGTCATTTTATTGCAATATTACTTACCATCATTTCCTCTTTCTCCTTTGATACTGAGACCCTTTGGCCCTTGTTGTCCCGGTGCTCCAGCATCCCCTGGTTCACCTGGAGGACCAATAAATCCCATGTTTCCAGGTCGACCAGGTATTCCAGAGAGTCCTCGATCTCCAGGAGGTCCTAGAAGAGAGAAGAAAACATGATAAACATCCATTCATTCTTCAAGATAACTGTTGTGTCTTTGGTAGGATACAAACCTAAGGGGCCTTGATGTCCTATAACACCGGGACCCCCCTCTTCATCAAGATTGGGATTGTAAATCCCAGGTTCTCCATCAACTCCTTGTACTCCTGGTGGGCCTATTGCACCTGGTGTCCCTGGTGGTCCCTAATAACAGAGACATTAACACTGTACTGAATGTTATGGAATGCCAGTCCATTAAGTATTTCAATGAGCTGTGTAACCACACATCTCCAACTAATTCCTTCAGATTTTGTATATGGATTCATAAGATGTAAAAAGTCATATTACAATAGTAAACTACTGTAACCTAATGAGGAGCTTTATAACTTGTACTCTTCTCCAAGTATAATTAGAATGATCAAGTCAAGGAGGATGCGATGGGCAGGGAATGTAGCACAATCGGGGGTGAAGAGGAATGCATACAGGATCTTAGTGGGAATGCCAGAAGGAAAGAGACTACTGGGAAGACCAAGACATAGGTGGGTGGACAATATTCAAATGGATCTTAGTGAGACAGAATGGGATGGTATAGTTTGGATTGATCTGGCTCAGTATAGGGATCAGTGGAGGGTTCTTGTGAACATGGTGATGAAGTTTCAGGTTCCATAAAATGCTGGGAAGTTCTTGAGTAGCTGCACAATTGGCAGCTTCTCAAGAAGGGCTCAGCTCCATCAGTGAGTGAGTGAGTGAGTGAGTGAGTGAACTACTGTAACCATGGAACAGCTTTGTCATGAAAAGCCTCAAAAAAGCATGCAATGAAGTGAAATGCATCTGTGAAAAACACAGAACAAAATGCTTTATAGAGTATTTGACCTAATAATAGGAATCCAGATAATGCAGAATTATGCGATATATTTCTTCTGGTACATTCATGATGTTAAATCTGATACTGAAAGTTACAGAACCAAATTTCAGAATTTTCTCTTTTACCTTGAAAAGACTGACCATCAGCTGAGAAGATATTATCTAAATCTACAGCATACAATATGCATATTTGAGAATTATAAGTAAAACTCTTTATTAAGTCCCAACTCTAGGAAGTAGAAACACATGTGTCATGTGTTTTATAAGTATATTTTCTAATATGTATGGTCATTAATTCATTTCTTAAGAACAGGAACATATTTAAAATTTTTAATTTTAATGCACACCTGCTTATAGGCAGGAACCATAATGAAATCCGTGGTTTCTGTGCATCACAGTATTGGAATTACTAAACAGCAATATATTTGGTGAGTTATAAATTGAAACATTTTATTCTAATTCAGATCTATCTGGCCAAAAATAATTATATTCATAAAATACTAAAGAGTGAAATCTTCACACAATTTTCCATATAATCCTAGAATGTAATATAATCATTTTTTCTCACCTTTGGTCCATCTTCCCCTGTCTGTCCAGAATAACCTGGGGCTCCCTTTGCCCCTTTGGGACCACTTGGTCCTGCAGGTCCTTCTTTACCCTGTTTTCCTCTCTGTCCATCTGGACCTTGATCACCCTTCATTCCTTTGGCTCCAATTAAACCAGGCTGACCCTAGCAGCAAATCAGGATTTATTATAATCTATGTAATATTGATTTTTGCATATATTTAGCTGGTTGAAAGGTGCTTCAAATGCCATAGTCATTCCTGCCACCACCCAGGACTTCATCTTGTATCACTCACCTGGTAAACAGGAGATTCATGTTTAAATTCTGCTTACAGAACATTTTTTTATATTCAGAAGATTTATTTCTGTGCATTCGGATTCAGCACAGCTTCCTTTATAAATTTTAATTTTGATCTTTCTGGACCAACTTCACTTATTTCAATTTAAAATTAGAATTACATACAAAGTGCAAAAACGTGAATTCATTTGTTAGTATATTTTATAATGTTCAACATGTTTTTGAAGTTTTCTTACTTGTGGTCCTTTTGGTCCAAGTTCACCCTTCAGTCCTCGTGACCCAGAATCTCCAGTGGCACCTTTCGGACCTTTTGGCCCTTTCCATAAGAATATAGGAGGGTGTTCTACTGCTTCTTCCCCGTCATGAACAAGTTTGCCAGGCGGGCCAGGATCCCCTAAATCTCCCTGGTCTCCTGGCATTCCAGGTAATCCATACTTGACCTCTCCTGGATCTCCACGCAGACCCTGTGGTCCTGGTAACCCTTGGAATCCCTGTGATTATCCAAAACACACAAATACATAATTGTGTCAGTGTGGTTATGAAGTTTGGGGGTATGAATACGTATGCCTGCTGTTATTTGCTAAGAGGGGCATGAAACTGTGGACACATGGATCTCTGTCATATCCTCTTAAATATTTCTTTCTGTAAGCTTAACTTCTAGATTAGTAAATGATAGAAAAATTAGCAGGGTTGTTTGAAGGGTGCCAGTTACTTCTACAAGTAAGTCTATCTTTTATTCTCCAATGAAGAGAAGATGAGGCAAATGGTAGGTAAAACTGGTCAAATTTGACCACTCTACTGTTCATTTAGAGGCACAATGAGCTTCAGTGGATCAACAACAAAGGTAAAAGTCATCCAAAAATCATGTTGATGTTTTCAGCTATCACAGTATTTGGAGGTAGGAGTTAGTATCTGCCTCACTTCCTCTTCACTGGAGGATACTACAGTTTTTCTGTTAGTGCCAGGCTCTAATTTGAGTTGACACTGTAGTGTAAACTGGGACTTTACAACATCAAATCATTAAAATTGCATTAAACTGCAAAGAAGTAAAATACAGAATCTATATAAATAAAATCCTTTAAGAAAAATGTATCATCAGATGGACAGTGACAGAAAGAAAAATAGAGACAGAAGGTAGGAACAGGGGAAGACACAAGAGGAAAATGAAGGAAGAAAAAAGAACAAGGGACTAAAATAAGGAAAAGAAAGGAAAATGAAGAATACAAATGGGCCCTATTAACCTACATAGTGAAATATCATTAAATACATAATACGTGTATATTAACCTGAATTTAAAATTTTGAAACTTCAATTAAGGTAAACTGGTAAGTTCTTATAACTTGTCACAACTATTTCATTTAACGGCATGTCCTCAACTGCCAGAGTTGTAAAAAAAAAGAGAACTCTTTTAAGCTGTCATAGCAGATTGTTAGTGAACATACAGCAGCATAAAATATTTGGAACACATAATGAAGGATCGCTTGAATCCTTATGTATTAAATAAATGCCATCACCTTGTAAGTAAAAAAAATGACCCACTACAGCCACTCACCACAGACGTCACCTAGTTAAAGTTCAAGATTACAAATGATAAAACAATTCCATCCAGTGTGACTATTGAAGCTTTTACTACTTCACTTCTTAGCACCCTAACATATTTCGGTCCCTATAGACCATCATCGGAGGGAACATCAATACTTTTAGAAACTACTATTACATTAGGTGTTTTGATTTTTAAAATACATATATATACAATATTTGTAACATACACTTTATACAAAATCCAAATTTCTTACAACTACAGCAACTGCCCTTGATGCATTAAAGTTTTTAGAAACTTTTTGTTATTTAATTTAAAATTCTTTAACCAAATAGGTTCGTGTCCCTTGTCCTTTCGTTTTTCTTGACGGGGCCGAACTTGTGCCACCTGTCTTTCTTGGGAAGGTAGTTCTTGTTGTTGTCCTATGTTTGTTTGTAGCGTGCTATGTTGTTTTTACAACAAGAGATGACGGACCACAAAACGATATGGAAAACCTAGCCTAAATATTTTAGAAAATCTTTGGAAATAACAGAACATGAAACAGAAGCTTTAGCAAAACCAAGAACATTAAAGTACTGGGAGGGGATACATTGGAAGCCTCCTTGTACGGACGCTTCTTAAGGCTTTGATGAGCTGTCAGTAGATTTAAGGATAGGCAAAGTTCTTATTGTTAAGTTCTTCTGAAGTAGCAATCCTGAAAAGAAAAACTTCGACAGCACATGACTTCTTTCTATAATTGGAAAGAATTGGGAATTTAGGAACTGTGAGCTTAATCATTCATCCCATTTTTAACATTAATGATAAGAGAATTCCAACTAAAATAAATTACAGGGACCACTACATTAACATGAATTGTTATTCCTGATCAATTAATCATGACAACCCTAATCCACATTCACACAGTATTACAGCCTGCAGTATTGGTTACTCACTTGAAATCCAGGTGGACCTGCATACCCTGGTATCCCTGGTTGACCCCTATAGCCAGGTAGTCCCTAAAAAAGCAAATTCAGAACATGTACAGAAGTTTCACAGCCTTTATTTTCTATTTTACTCATCAGTCTGCAGACTGACAGAACAGGTTCCACGATACATGGTAAACTCTTTGCATAGAACAGTATCCTTCTGGTAAAAGAACAAGAAGTTTCTATGCCTTTATTATAAAAGTCCATCATTTGACACAATCTCAAAAATTATAATTTAGTGATGTGAAGAAGAGGGCAGAGGGCTCTGAATATGCACCAATATGATCGTGAGTTTCATTTTTAATATCCGTGTATTATACAAAAATTAAAAACAGATGTTTACTAAAGTTAAAGTAACGTACAAATTCCTGTCTACAAGTACAGTCTCTGTAGAACATCATTTTATTAATTTTCAGGCTGTTATCAATCGCCTGATGATACTGGCGAAATAAACATATTTTCAAGGTATAGAATTTTTCATTTGAGTGTAATACACCACCTCCAGAGCCCTTCAGAATCCAGTTCAATACTGTTCAAAACTTTCAATATTATCAGTAATATGTTGGCAGAACATTTTGTATAAATTTGTTACAACTCACCTCTATTCCCGGTCTTCCTGGGACTCCCCGGTCTCCTTTCACACCTTTGGTATTAACACCACCCTCTCCCGGATCTCCTGGTATCCCAGGGGGGCCAAATGCTCCTGGAAGACCTCTCACTCCGGGTATTCCAGGCTGACCATGTTGTCCTGGGCTGCCATCTGTGCCGTTACAGCCGTCAAGTCCATGTGGTCCTCGGGTCCCTTCATCCCCAACTGCTCCCTGTCAAGAAGTATGTGTCATAACAATCCTTTCTCGTTTTGATGGCATGTGAAAGGCCATAAACAAGATCCCACAGACTCGTTCTTTCCTTTTAGGGGAAGAGGTCGCATGCATTCATCTAAGCCTCTACTATCAAAATGTCAGTCTCAGCTTCATGTGGTGCCTCATCTTTTTATAGACAGGGACATGGCAAATGAGTCATTTAGGCAATGGAGGATATGCCTTGTCATAATGTCACAAGAAGTAATACTCCATCAATGAGGGACGATACCACTGCATGGCTTCTGACAACATAAGAAATGCAGGCAAATATCCGCGCCCTGAAGTCGACTTGATATCGCAGTCATTGTGCTTTATTAAGCACCATGCTATGACACTGTATGGGGGATTGGAATTAGAGCTGCACACTTTCCTGACATCGACACGAGATGGCAGTGAACTGTCAGATTCATGCCCTAGCCGCTTAACTCCTGGGAAAAGAGCCCTCAGTACCCATTGAACAGGAGGCTGTGTTGGCTCCAGAACCGGCCTGGACGCTGTGGAAAAGAACCTCTGCCCCTACTGGGAATCGAACCCCGGTTCCTCAATCATCCAGCTCATAGCACAGTCACTATCCCGACTGAACTATTCCGGCTCCCAACAACTCAAGCAGTCTCTTCCACTTTCCTTCAGGCTGAAATAGTTAGAAGCTGGTAAATAACACAAAAGCCAATAAAATGACACCTCTGGAATAGAACTTATGCCACTTTTGCAAGATTTTATTATATCTCATAACTAACTCGTTGTCTTCTGTATTTGCGCTGAGCTTCGAGTCTTATTTTCATCTAGAAGATTGTAAGGCAGGACAATATGGGCGTATGAACACATAAATGATTATACTTAAATGAACTTTCCACTTTACTGTAAGATCTAAGACGTCTTGGGTCTCTCGAGCCCTGTGATCGCGGATTCGAATCCCCATGAGAGGTTTCGATGTTCGTCCGCGTTTTGTTGTGTTGTCCTTTAATGACAGAGGCCCTACAAAGGTCTAGTCCCTCACCGAAAGAGTAACACCTCTTTCGCAGAGACGTGAATCAGACCAGTCCCAACCGTCATACCTCGAATATGAAACACTACGAAGGAGGTCTTTCTGTTTCCAACGAGATCTTTGTGTTACAATAATTTGGGTTCCCATCGGATGCCGAAAACAGAGTCTAGTAATTTTTTAACGATGATGTAATGATCAGTGTTAATATCTTATGGCCGATCATAGTGGCCGCGCAGTCTAGGGCATGAAATGTCTTCGCCCGCTCGAACACTGGGATCGTGGGTTCGAATCCCACTTTAGGCAGGGACGTCTGTGTTTATGTTGTCCTGTGTAGGTAGCGGCCTTGCGTCGGGCTGATTCTCGTCCAAGGAATCCTACCGACTAAGATTAAGAAATTGAAGAGAAACGAAGCGTTTCACGGATGCCCAATGCTCCAAGTGGGGGCAACTGGAAATAGATTGATAGGTAGATAAATAGATAGACAGACACACAGATAGATAGATAGATAGATAGAGATTATTTGATGTTGATCCACCCCAAAAAATGCGAGTATTTTACACTCACTCTACCAAAGGCCGCCACTGGACACAGTTCTTGTCAATTCCATAAATCTTCACGGCCCCTCTTCCGAAGATCTATCTTAATGCCTTCTGTCTTCCTTGTGGTCTTTTAACAACTACAGAATGTATTGCGGCTGTAACGGATAATTGGAAGTTAGATCAAATACGCGGCCGTGCCATGGCTCAGGCGGTCAGTCGCCGGCTTTTCACCGCGGCGGCCCGGGCTCGAGCTCAGGTCAGGTCATGTGGGATTTGTGGTGGACAAAGTGGCGCTGGGGTAGGTTTTCTCCGAGTACTTCGGTTTCCTCTGCCAATTCTTATTCCACCGACTGCTCCACATTTATCATCTACCATCCGGGGCTGGTACAATAGACCAACCAGTGGCCGACGAACCAAGTGGACTAGTCTCAGCCTATCCCAAGAAAAAAAGAACTTGCGCAAATACAGTGCTATATCTCTAAGAGCCATGCCATAAAGATTTGCAAGTCAGCTTGAAAGGCTGGGAGTGCCCCGGAGCAATCTGCATATCTGCAGCAACAGAAACACTTCGAGTTTCTTCTGAAGAAGGGCCGCGCCATAGCTCAAGCGGTTAGTCGCTGGCTTCCCACCGCGGCGGCTCGGATTCGATCCCGGGTCTGGTCAAGTGGGATTTGTGGTGGACAAAGTGGCACTGGGGCAGGTTTTCTTCGAGTACTTCGGTTTCCCCTGCCAATCTTCATTCCACCAATTGCTCCACAATCACCCTCACCTATCATCTGGGGCTGGTACAATAGGCCAGAAGTGGGCACAGTACAAGGGACTTAGTCCCACCCCACTAACAACAAAAAAAAAATACTTCTGAAGAAGAAACCCAGACCGTTAATCGAGTTCCAGTTGTATTGAAAAAAAAAAAAGAATTGAAATTTGTTATTGATAAATTTACAGCGTCATTGCACGTATCATCAGCCAATTAACTTTCTGAATACAAATAGTTACCCGTATCCAAAGTGTGGCTGAATTGTTTAGCTTTCTGCACAGCGTCCATTCTGAGACGCATGCTGTGATGTAACTCTCTTTTTATCGTGTAGATGTCAGTGGGTCAGTGGTTGTTTTGTACACAGATTTATTACTTTCGTTTATTTCTGCAATTAAATTGTGTTCGTTTTTACTCGAAGTCGGTCTGATAACCTCTAGTTATATTACCAACCACTTCAATATGCTATAATTATTTATTGTCTTACATTATATACTGTTTGTTAGGCGTGTGCATTACACTGTCACACGAATGGTATAAACTCCTTTATGGTCCAGTAGCGCACCTAAGTTTTCTCTTTCGTGCAAGGGCGTGAAAGAAAAACAAACACTTAATTAGGGGCACTCACATTTCAATTACGCTTTGACTTATATGCTGGTTAGCGGCTTCCGTAGTCTAGAGGTAACGTTCCCACCTCATGACTCCTAGTACGCGGATTCAAATACCCGGCGGAGGTCGTCGAATTTTTAAGGGCGGAAAAATTCAGGGAACAAGTCCTCCGGGAGGGACTCGTGGGTCCCGCGTCGTAGCTTTACGGCACATAAAAGAACCTCATATCTCCAAAGGAGGTCACTGAGCCAAATTACGGATGTTTCCCGCCCAACAGCAGTCTCTAATACTTCCGGTAGATGGGGGAAGCATTATAGATACCTCTCAGCTAGTAGAGCCGGTCTCGCTGGCTGGGCGGGACTGATGGTAAGCGCCAGTACCGGTAGGATATAGAGACTGGTAGAAATCATAGAGGGAAGCACAATGGACCAATACAGGTCTAAGTGCATGGGGAAACCCACCCTCTCAAATAACTAACTAACTAACTATATGCTGGTTCTTTCGTCACCACATGTTTTAATTTACCTTTTTATACAGTAAATTTGTGACGATGTTGCGTAAGGTTGTGGTATTTTTATATTGCTAGTGGGGAGAGACTAAGTCCCTTGTATTGCGGCCACTTCTGGCCTATTGTACCAGCCCAGATGATAGGTGAGGGTGATTGTGGAGCAATTTGTAGAATGAAGATTGGCAGGGGAAACCGAAGTACTCGAAGAAAACCTACCCCAGCGCCACTTTGTCCACAACAAATCCCACTTGACCAGACCCGGGATCAAACCCGGGCCGCCGCGGTGGGAAGGCAGCGACTAACCACTTGAGCTATGGCGCGGCCGACGTTGTGGTAACATACAAGTACAAGCTAAGTGTTCTGATAGAGCGCTGCACACGCTGGTTGCAGGTAGTACTGCTTGTTCCGGCAGATGGATCTGCAAGCAAGTCAGTTGCAATTTCCATAAAAATGCTTATATATGCCCGTAACACATTTTTAAACGTATATTTTGTATTTTTTAATATTGGGTTTTATGGTAATACTGTTAAAGGGAACTGAAATGTGATTACGAGAAGGACCTCAATATTTTCTTTCCTGCCGTCTAATCGAATTTAGCGGTGTAGTGATTACCACTCCATTCGAATGGGTTGAAATCGCGTCTCGGATATCGGATATTCTGTCTGATATCTTCCTATAGTTTTCTGCAGGTCCTCCAGGCACCAGGTAAAACAATACCTTGATGTAGGCCACAATAATTATTTTTACATTCTGTTCACTTTAATACCAACATTTTCCTATTGTAGTTCGACGCCATGTAACGTATACAGTTGAAAATATTCAAGTTAAGAAAGAATAACCTTTCATAGAAGACATTATTTTTCGTTCCTTCGGCGCTACAGCCCCAATTTGGGCCTTGGTCTACCTCCACGAAACTATCCATTTCACTTCAGTTTACTAGATCTTGGACATTCGGTAGGACTCCTTGGGGTGGGTGATCAGCTTGTCGCTGTACAGAAACACAGTAAAACACACAAACACACATCCATGCCCTGAGTGTGATTCGAACCCACGATCCCGGCTTCCTAGCGACGGAAGACAGTGCATGCCTTACACCGCTCGGCTATCGTGACCGGCTAACATACATTTTAGGTAGGTTTAATCAATAAACCTGTTTATCGGCAATACAAACCGAACACACGCATTACATGGGAACGTCATCGCCAGCTCAAACACTGGGATCGTGGGTTCGGATCCCACTTCAGGCATGGATGTAAGCGTTTTTCTACGTTTGTGTTTTCCTGTGTAGGTAGTGGCCTTGAGACGGGCTGATCTCCCGTCCACGGAGTCCCAAAAACTGTCGCAAAACGTAAAGTATACCTAGCCGTGTAATAGGCCGTGGAGGCCCACAGGGTTTGTGACGTCGAGGTTGCCACATTTTCTAGATAATCAGCTCACAGATGGCGGTGAGGTTGCTAACTTATATCTGTTGGAGACTGAGTCGACCCCTGAGCCATAGTGAGACTGGAAGGATTTTATCAGATTTGCTTTGCTCCGTGGTCTTTAGTCCACAAGCGAACTATACCGACCGAGCGACCGCCGCTTGTCGGCGAAGTTAGTGCCAACTTTTCCAGATAGAGGGTGTCGCGTGGTCAGCGCAACGGATTCCCTCGGCCGTTAATCTCGGTTTTCTAGACCGGAGATTTTATCAGATTACTTCTGAAAATAGAAAACACCCGAGGGCCTAATCCTTCAAAGAAGTATTACATGGGTATATTCAGACTGTGTTGGGGTCGAACCCACTGATAAATTTCGAGTCATCTTCGTATATCGATAAAACTACAACATATGCTCGTCGAATCCACAGATAGTAGTGTATTCATTTGTGGCAATCTTGCTTTGTATCTGAGCAACTGTGGCTGGTTTTTGACCTGGTACTTTGACTGTACTACACAAACAGTAGTTAGTTAGTTAGTTAATGGAGAGGGTGGGTTTCCCCATGCACTGAGACCTGTATTGGTCCATTGTGCTTCCCTCTATGATTTCTACCAGTCTCTATATCCTACCCGTACTGGTGCTTACCATCAGTCACGCCCAGCCAGCAAGACCGGCTCTACTAGCTGAGAGGTATCTATAATGCTTCCCCCATCTACCAGAGGTATTAGAGACTGCTATTGGGCGGGAAACGTCCGTTAATTTGGCTCAGTGACCTCCTTTGGAGATATGATGTTCTTTTACGTGCCGTAAAGCTACGACACGGGACCCACGGCTTAAAATCCCTCCCGGAGGACTTGTTCCCTGAATTTTTCCGCCCTTAAAAATTCGACGACCTCCGCCGGGTATTTGAACCCGCGTACTACGAGTCATGAGGTGCGAACGTTACCTCTAGACTACGGAGGCCGCTACACAAACAGTAACTGCTGGGAGATTAATGTAACAGGAGTAAAAAGATGTACTCCAGTTGAATAGCCGTTCATTTTCGTACGCGTTCTTCGAGATTTTTCCATGATTCATTAATTTTATGACAAGGTACAAATCTTGCCTGGTATTTAGTGCTACATGGTGTCTCAAAGTAAATAACTGATTGTATTGGGGGAAGTGTTTCTTGAATCTGATAGTCGTTTGGTTCAAAAGGTCCCATGTCCTTCATGTAGAACCTGAAGGTTCATTATCGAGTTCATGAGAGCCCGCCATTGTACGAGTACTCTGTCCTGAACCCTCACATACGTTGTACTTCATACCGTTCTCCAATCTAAGCATACGACTCTCAGGTTTATCCTTATAAAGCTTCTGATTGTGTCGTTTCCTCCTTCCCCCTTTCCCTTCCACCCTCTTAGGACCAAATATTTTCTTCAGCACTCTGTTCTTAAACAACATCTGTCTATGTTCTTCATGTTAGGGTGAGAGACCATGTTGTACACCCGTACTAAACAGCATACATAATTGTAATCCTATATATATATATATATATTCGCATGTTTGCTAGGCAACGCGACAAGAAATTGTGTGGTTTCTCGGATTTGAACGAATACTTCTATCGGACAGTCACTTTTACACTCACACTTAACGTTATTCTCCACTTAAAACGTCCTTTTAGACGTTTCTTCTTCACTGTTACAACACTTCTGCTCCAGTCGGATAAGAACTCTTCTGTTCTAGTCGGATAAGAACTCTTCTGCTCCAGTCGGATAAGAACTCTTCTGTTCTAGTCGGATAAGAACTCTTCTGCTCTAATAGTCGGATAAGAACTCTTCTGTTCTAGTCGGATAAGAACTCTTCTGCTCTAATAGTCGGATAAGAACTCTTCTGTTCTAGTCGGATAAGAACTCTTCTGCTCTAATAGTCGGATAAGAACTCTTCTGCTCTAGTCGGATAAGAACTCTTCTGCTCTAATAGTTGGATAAGAACTCTTCTGCTCTAGTCGGATAAGAACTCTTCTGCTCTAGTCGGATAAGCTCTCCAGCTAAAGTCGAATACAAACTCTGCTGGTCTCTGGCCGACGTTGGACTCTTATAATGTGCACTCGGACTGAATAGGGAATACCTTGTCGAATGGTTAATTCCGCCCGCTGTTACGCAACGAAAGCGGGAATACGTGTCTGCCTCAAACAATTCGTGTGTAACGGTGGAAACCCCACTGTTAGACTTTCATTTCCGGAGCAATGATTTCCTAGTCTTCGCTGTCTAGGAATTGCTAGCCGTTGTATGGCAATGGATGCGTTATGATTCCAAATATTCCGGCCCTAGGCGGCACGCCACAGTATTTTAATCGTACGTGCCGTAGTCATATAGACGAGAAGGCAATATTCTGACGTCCTTAAAATCGAAAGCATAGTCATCCGTACTGCTGCTGTTAAATCTTCCTTCGTTCCATGTAGTCACTGTCACTGATGGGAACCACTTCATTACGTTGGCTAAAACATATACGAGTAGCAGATTATGATGTACTGCAGTTTGCTGTCGTGTGGGATATGACGCTGCTTACTCTGGCAAATAAGTACCAACATTTCGGAGGAACTTTCTGCTTTAATCTTCAGGGCAGAAGATGTACCGAACTACACGGTATCACGTCTCAGAATATGTCAAGTCTTCTTAGTCACCACAGTGATAACCTCATGAGTCGAACAGCGTTATTCAACTTCGCCATTTTCATTACATAGATTGAGGTCCGTTCTGGGTCAAGGCACATGATGGTATAAGGGAAGTGAAGAACAGTCCGGACTTTCACTGACAGGAAGTGATTGTTTGTAGGTCAAAATACTGCAGACTTCGACCTTAATAACAGAATCACTCCTTAAGAATTTTTGCTTTTATTTCACCAGTAATTCTAAAGTTCATGATTACAGTATCATCATGCCAGAAGTTTGTTGCTCTTGGCAACATTTCCACAGATGAAAGAAATAAGGATCTTAGTGTACTGAGTACAGAGAAGCTATTAATAACATATGCCAATTATAGTGGCCCGCGGTCTAAGACATGAACTGTCTTCGCCAGCTCAAACACTGGGATCATGGATTCGAATCCCACTTCAGGCAGGGATGTCTGTGTGCGCTTATTCTGTGTTTGTGCCGTCCTGTGTGCAGGTAGCGGCCTTGCGACGGGCTGATCCTCCGTCCAACGAGTCCTATTGACTGTGTAAAAGATCAGGGGGGGGGGGAAAGACCACGCCCAAATAAGGGCTGTAGAGCCATAGACAGATTAACAAGACAGGGTATCGCGAATAGCAATAGCCACAGTCCCGTTGTATTTGTTTCAGTTTGACAATGAGAACAAGAATACAATTTCCCGATACTTACCGGTATTCCTGGAGTACCCCTGAATCCTGGGACGCCAGCTTCTCCCTGTAAAAATAAAAATGGAATAAATTGATAAATTACTAAACTGCAGTACTCATTAGACACATCATGTTTAACCAGTTCCTTGGTAAATAAATTTTCTCGGTTAGCTGAGTGTCTATTTTTATGAAAACCAAAAGCTCATTACCGCCATTACAGGAGCCTCTAACTGGAAACGGCTCCCGGTATGGGGGGGGAAATTATGAACTTGCTTTTGGTTTGTTACGTGGAATTAGTTAATAGAGTTCTGTCGGCAAATAATTTATACATTTGTCTCGCGTAAAAGCACAAAGTAAGTTGTTTCAAGTGGTAACGCTCTTGACCTGCATTCGTAAGGTGCTCGGTTGGAACATAGGCCGGGGCACCGGCTATCCTGAGAATGGTTTTCCGTGGTTTTCCTCAATCCCGCCAGGCAAATGCTGGGACAAGAGTTTAAATTAGGCCAGAACCGTTTCCTTCCATATCTTTTCCAATTCATTTGCTCATTATCATCCATTCATTCGATACTGTAAGTGGAAGCCTGCGGTTCTCAACTGGTGGGACGCGTCCCATTCATGGGCTTGACTGCTGGGCGGGACCTGAGATCTCAAAGTTAATAATTAATTTAGTTCCACAAAATTCAGTACAAGAAACTTTCCTGCATACAGGGAAGGGTTTTCCCTCTGCTATAGTATATCTTGAGCACGCTTACTTAAGAGCACGTACATCTTCCGAGATATAACGCAGTGTAGTCTGTTGAAAGTCAACCGACGTTTCTGTGTAACATCTCACCTCTATCTTCATGCTTGAAGAACAATCAAAGCAAGACACCAGCATGAAGCGAAACTTGCAGCATTCTTCATGCTGGTTTCTTGCTTGGCTTACTATTCATCCCTGAGGATGGAGGTGATATGTTCCTCTGAAACGTCGGTTGACTATCAACGGAGTGAACAGCGTTATATCCCAAAAGACAGAATTCTTCATAACCACCAGTATGAGAACCTCAAATCCTACAAGCTTACCAATTATTACAGCTAACAGAACTATATTTTTATATTATAAATATAGTAATAAAACACATTATCAAAACTGTTAGTTTTTTAAGTTCTTAAGCATTTACTTTAATGATTACCGTAATATTACAAATTACATACCCGTAAAACTACACGTGGAAAAGAGAAACTTTGTTTCTACTATGGTGAGACTATGGAGTTTAGACAAAATGACCAACTGGACGCAAGATACGGAAGGCTGAGAACTGCTGGTCGGGTCTGCATTACTGACAGCGTCGTCAAACAAACAAATATATAACTTCACAATGTAAAAAAAAAGCATTTTAAAAATATAATACAATGATTTGAAGCGGAGGTGGGTGTACCCAGATGTAGATAGGATAATAATATTAAAACGGATCTTAAATAAATATACGGAAGTGTGGACTGGATTCATCTGGCTCAGAATAAGGCCCCGAAGGTGTGCTTTTACGAACACGTTAATTAACCTTCCGGTTGCATAAAAGGCTAGCTTGTCTGGCTAGCGACCGTTGGGTTCTCAAGAAGGAATGTGCCCCACGGAATTGACACACGATATTTGGAAGCTTGAACGTCACTATTCAGGGAGTCTGTGCATTGCGAAGTTCATCCACTCTTTGTCTGGAGTTACACAGACGTTTGTGCTACAAATCCATGCTTCTATTCCCGGCAGAATAATGCCTCTTTGTTTCGCTCGGGTTTATGAGTGGGGCGGCCATATCCGCTACGTCTGTCTGCCGTACGCGTGTGCAGTCCCCAAACTTCCACTGAGGCCACAACCTCAAGTATTTAACGAATCACTACATTTCCAGGGAAATGACTTATGGAAGATCGGCGAGGATTCGTGATCCTCGCCAAAAAGAACATTCCATCATTCTCACAAGTTCGTAGTATTCTAAACAGTAAGATAGGCAGTACGTAACCTCTCCTACCTAAATGTCAACATCATCTTAACGTAGTATAGTCATATTAGCGAAAAACGAGGCATTGTTTACCGAACCCTGATGGTATAACCATTACATTTGGCGTGGAGGCAATTCCATTATCAAATTGAGATCAGTATAAATTTAGTTTCTGGGTATAAATTCTTCGGCCGCCTATATGGTCTAGTGGTCAGAGTTCCTGGCTACAGATCCAGAGGTCCAGGGTTCGATTCCCGGCGCTACCAGGTTTTCTGAGAAGTAGTGGGTCTGGAACGTGGTCCACTCAGCCTCATGAGGATAATTGAGCCATTTCAAGGAAATTGCGGCTCCGGTCTAGAAAACCGAAATTAACGGCCGTGGGGATCCGTTGCGCTGACCACGGGTTAGTTGGCACTAACTTCGCCGACAAGCGGCTGTCGCTCGATCGGTGTAATTCGCTTGCGGACTACAGGCCACGGAGTTTGTTTTTGTGTTTGTATAAATTCTTAGTTTTGTTTCCGTCTCAACACAACAGCCATTAGAATCCCATTCTCATTTCACTGTGTATAATGGGTTTATTGTTCTTAATACGCTACATGTTTCTGTTTATAAAGCCATCATCAGGCAGTACACATCAACAAATATTTTCAAAATATTGAATTGTGCTTTATATGAATTCATACATTACAATATAACTTTTATCAATGTACCTGACTTTGCATTCAGTTAATACATTCATACATTGTAATATATGAATTATGCAAAGAGCAATTCAATAGTTTGAAAATACTTGTTGATGTGTACTGCCTGATGATGGCTTTATAGGCCGAAACATAATATTATGACTAATAAACCCATCATAGACAGAGAAATGTGAATGAGATTCTAATGTTTGTTGTGTTGAGATGGAAAGAAAAAAGTAATTATATAGAATAACACAACAAGATACATTCTTTAATGATTAGTTTTTGGGGTTAATTTTAATTTATTCTGTGATTGAAGCCACGAATAGTCGTTAAATTACAAACTAGTTAACTAACTAACTTCATGGAACTGAGTCCTTCTTGAGAAGCTGCAAATTGTGCAGCTACTCAAGAACTTCCCAGAATTTTACAGAACCCTTAGGTTCATTACCGTGTTCACAAGAGCCCTCCACTGGTCCCTATCCTAAGCCAGATCGATTCAGGCCATACCATCCCATCCTATCTAACTAAGATCCATTTTAATATTGTCCACCCACCTACGTCTTTAAATCCAAAACCAGCGTCTCAGATTATGCAGTAACATACCCAAGAAATAACCCCCCCCCTCTCCTGTCCATCAAGAATTCTCACCGCGGACACCTAAAATCTTTCATATCTGTGATAGTGGGACTCGAATGTCGGTACGGAGTCCTGCAATTCCAATCCTACCGCAAACTGCCACGACCATGCCTCCTTCGTGATTCGTTAAATAAATAAATAAATAAATATACAATTACTGAGCAATATCATGGAACAGGTGCAATACATGTGGCTTCTGCCCAGAATTCAGTCCGCTGTATCAGACATTTCGTCTGCGGTCTTCAGTCCTTTCATGCGATTGTTGGAACAGCAGGTATCCTTAAATTATGCCACGACCACTTCCTTCCTCGACCAATCCTGTTCGCAGTACAAAACTCATTTTCACCTCCTGAAGGGAGATGAGATATGAACACAAAATTTTTGTCGGAAAACCTTGAGAAACAGGATGACTCCGGAGACATGGGAGTTAACGGGAAATAGTGTCAACACGAACAGTTCCATCTTCTGGGACATAACGGTGTATAGTCCGTTTATAGTTAACCGACGTTTCAGAGGAACATGTCGTCTCCATCTTCAGGGTCGAAGAATAAGCCAAGCAAGAAACCAGCGTGAAGCAGGCTCGACCCTCAAGATGGAGGCGACATGTTCCTCCGAAACGTCGGCTCATTTTCAACAATCTACGTGGCGTTATATCCCAGAAGACGTAACTCTTTACAACAATCATCACATGCTTCTTAAATGGGCATGAGGGCATGAAATGGATTCATCTGGCTTCAATACAGGCCTTTTATGAACACGTTAATGAACTTTTGAGCATCGTAACAGGCGGGGAATGTCTTGGGCAGCTGAGTGTCTGTTAGATTATCAAAAAAGGGCTCCGCTACATGGACTTCGCTTAATTAACAAATTCCTAGCAAGCACTCTCTATGAGCCACGCAAAGCTAAGCGAATGCGCGTGTGGCAACAAGGCCGTGTGGGTGTATGGTAGCTCTTGTTACGTCATGCCTATCTCGCCTCCGAGATAGAGCTTCCTGTTCCAGACAGGAACAGACCGCGTTCAGAATGTGGAGGCGCTGCATGTTCCGAAGCACCGCCAGGGAAAGTAAAACGAGTAGATCGTTGGAGTTCGATTCCTGGCAGTGGAACTCCACCGCCAGAAGGAAACTGGGACCCACATAACTTCCTGTCCCAATTGGGTATCTTGGCTTCGTTCCCACGTGGGCTGAGATGGCTGAAACATGAAGCTGACCATTCTACTCCATCTTGTACACAAATCTACAATGCCTGCACCTTTACATCCGCGCCATCTTAACGTGTACATTCCGTGATTAATCGTCGCGTGAAGCTTTACGTTTATAATTACTGATCACTGCTGCCAATTTTCCGGATTTGGTTTTTGTTAAAAGCAGACGGTGTTCGAGTAATACGAAAGGACACTGGCGATAAACTCTCCGAAGCCTAATTCAGCGTAACTGGAAACTTGTCACGTACTTTCCCAACGAATAATTTCGGATGTTTATACCCCAGTGATCTAGATTTTCGTTTGTTGGAGCACACATATTTTCAAAATTAATTATTTCAAGTGTTTTTTATCCCACTGATACTAATTTTCGTTTGTTGGAATGCACGTATTTTCTAGATGAGTTATTTCAGGTGCTTATACTCCATTGGCCTTGATTCTCATTTGTCTGAAGAGACATCTTCTGTTAACAGGGCTAATTAAGAGCAAACATAGGAGCTGCATAACCATAAATTCTGTTAGCCGCAACCGTGTTCAAAACATACACACACTTTTCTCTTGTACGTCATTA